GTGCACATGTCAGCCTATTATTAACGAGCCCGAGCCCGAGCCCAGGCTGTGTCGGACAAGTAAATACTGTGCTATTGTCCTGACTTGATACAATAGTCATTATAGCCCTTAATGGACAGGATGCACTGTGTAACATTATGCCAAGAATAGAATCATGTTTTACACAGATTTACAAGACAACCTCGTTGTTTGTACAAGTTACATTTCACATATAAAATGTTTGTATGAGAAAAGAATAGACCTTCTAGGGTTGCACTGGTAATTAAGAAATATACCAACAATATCTAGCAACTCTATTCATATCAGATCTCAAATCACTTGCTTCACACAGGCCTCTGTCATAGTCATTTATTTGAAGCAAGCTCAATACCAGGACACTTAAACAACATTTACATAACTGCTGATTGTAAGCCCTGTGTAACATTGGAGGCAACACTGACTAAGCAATACAGTACACTTAAACCAGGGATTAAGGCTTTAGGCTCCCTCAACTAATTACACCTTGCAGAAATGTGATTAGTGAGAGCAGTCACAGTAAGCAGAGCACAAACACAGACCTGCAGTTATGGTGGGAGCGAGATCAGCAGCAAACAAAATGAAAACGATGATTCCAGACGGACAGACAGACAGACAGACAGACAGGGAGTCTGGTACAAAGCTTCACTTACTGTACTGGCAGATGGACATGTAATGGAAACCATCATGTGGTTAAATGACAAAGAGGATTAGTGATAATGATCTAAAATGTCCTAGTAACGACAGCGAGAAGAAAAGCAGGTCCTCAAGACAACTCGCTCACTCTTGGCTTTGAACATTTCTGATTGTTTTCATTGCCGTGTTTGCCACACAAGAGGTAAACTAGCATCTTAAATTCAAAAAAATAAAGTAAAATTAAGAAGATGGTATCATAGGACATCATGTAATTACTTGTGTAAAAAATGCCAAAAGTGAGGGATTATGTATTTCACTAAAATGAGTATTAACAGGGAAAAAGAGCAAGTACATTGTATTTGAACATGTTATTTAAAGGAGATTTTCATGATCCTTCTCCTGCATGTTTTAACTTGCATCTCTTTCACACATCAGCACAATAGTAGCAGCTCTTTCTTCCCTAACAGAAATGTTATTGTTAGGTCTTCCACAATGAATAGTAAGGATTAAAAAAAAAACATGTTCCCACAGTTTCTATGACTACTAAAAACTTATTAGCCTGAGACAGCACTTGAGATTTTTTTTTTAATGACTTCAGGTTTTCAGAGCATTTTCATTTTCAATCTTTTATGCAGGCTAATGTTGCAACTGGACATCTCATGTCACAAGTCTGACTCACTCAGCATCATTCATTATTGACCTACAATAAATAATACAGTACTCAGAATTAGAAAGAATCCTTTTACAAGCTGGCCCCTTGACCTAAAGAAATATTTCAGTTATCCATAACTGATGGTTCTCTAAATCTTATTTTATTATTGATCCTAGGTCGAATGTGCACTGCCTTTGAAATTCAAACATTTTCTAAGAGGTGATAGCTCTCTGTAAGGCAGCGATGAGGAAAAAAAGAAAAACCACATTAAAATGAATAAATACATCTGTTTAAAGTTTGGTAGGCTACAGTGTAACTTGGCCATCTGACCACCCATCGTCCTGAAACCTACGCATTTCTGAGCATAAGTGCAGAGGTGACAGCCCATGCCAAATAACACGGAGATCAGTGAGTGAGTAGTGTAGCCGCATCTCTAAAGAGCCAGACAGGTGTAACCGGAGCGGACCAAAGCACAGATCAAAGCTCCACAACAGCAGCGACACATCGAAAACCTGCGGACGAGCGCACGGAAATTAGGAAGGACAGATTATTATCTGAGGACAGACGAAATCTACTAACACTGCAGAAATTACAAAAAAAGTAGAACCGTCCCTTCACACCACATTCCGCAAGATAAGTGAAGCTCAGCCTGCGCTGCACACGCCATGTCGGACAGAAAGGAGAAAAAGCATTTCCTTATATTTTGTGCCTACCTCACTCAGTGTCTCCATCCCACTCAGACTTGTGGTCTTGATGTTACGCTACTGCTCTGTTCCAGCATCCCACAGCACCGTTATTCGACTGTAGGGGGGGTGGGGGGGACACACACATGATGGTAGTGCAAGTGGGCTGACGTGACAGAGGCGACCAATCAGAATATAATCCGATAGATCCCTCACCAATCCGCTCATAGAGAGAAAGTGCGGAGCGCATACGGACACAAGTAGCAAGGTAGATTGACGCTGTGAGAGAATCTCCAGTCAACTCCTGCAAACTGTTTTCACAGCACAGCACACATCCCGCTCCTTAACTGTCTAGCTGGAAAACCATCCGCAGATAGAAGGGCTGGATGAGCCAAACAAGTGTGAGCAGCTGGACTGAGGTGTTTTGTCGTTTCATTAATATGTTTATTTGTAAGAATGCAGGGCATCTTCTCATCCTAAAAGCTCAGTATGTTCAAGACTGTAAGTGTGAGACTGTGCTAAAAAGTTCCTGTGCAATAAAGGATAATAATTACAATAAGAAAAAAAAGAATTAGAATATAAGAAACAGTATAGAGTGTAAAGGATAAAAGTTGAAAGAGAAAATATACATAAATATAAAAGTGTTAAAGTGCTTAAGTGTATACTATGTAGTGGGCTATGCAATTTTCCAGTAGGCATATATAGTGTCAGTATATAAAGGCAATATATAAGGCAAATGCATCACACAATAACCTGTTTATGTGTCCCTGCTTTAAATATTAACTGCTGCAGAGCCTCATTTTACCTTTAATATACTTCTTCACATGATAAAACTCTAATCTTTCAGTAGAAACTAAAAATATACCTATTGTCTTGCAGTTGTGAAGGTGGTCAAACTCAGCAGACTGTAAGCTAAGCTCATGGATGTCCACAGTGAGGAGCTGTAAGAGGATGAGTAGCCATATTTGGTCATAAGCTTATTTTAGACTGGCTGTAAAATTTTATTTAAGACTTCCTTTCCTCTACTGCTGCCGCTCATCTGCCTTTCTTTTAATGCTCAATTTCCATTTTTCTCTTTCATGGGAGTGGTTGTCTGGTCTACTGTAGGCTACACCTGCAGATAGAGCTCCAAAATCCCCCTCAGGGTGGGGATAGCTTCTAAAGGAGATTATACTGACGGAGTGAAAGGGATCTGCTGACCTGACCCTGTCTGGCCTAGGCGGCGTCTTTCAGATACACACCTGACAAGCTCAGGGGCTGTACTGCGTCTTTGTATTTGATGTGGATGGAGTGGAGATGCAGCCACACATATAGTACCCTGGTGCTAGACTGAAAGTAGGCCATAGACTTTCAAAGAGACAAATGAAACAATGAAATTCAACATTTTATTGCTCTTAGATGAGCAGTAAAGTAAGTGAACCAGCCTGACAGCATGACAGAATCAGGAATTTTCTTGTACAAAGCAAGGTATAACTGTCTAATCTAAAAAATAAAATTCTTCATTGCAAAATAGTTGTTGTTCAAAATAGGATACAAATGTCCAAAACAAACATTATCACCAATTCACGTGTTTATATTATATACTTTCAATATTATAAATAAAATCATTCCAAGATGCTTTTAGTAGTCTGCACACCAGGTGCTAAAAAAAACAAAAAACAAATGCAAAAATGTTGATATGTTGAAAGATAATAGTCCTGAAAAAATAATACAACAGCAGAACAGCACCGGCATGCAGTAACAAAAAAACTGACTGAATAGTACAATAAACCAATTAATGTTAGAATAAAACAAAAGGGGTGAAAAAGAAACTCGGCCAAATTACATTTGAAGATATAGACTATGCTATACTATTACTACACCTTTATGCTTCAACAGCAGTGGGATTTGTAGATTAAACTGTAGATTAAGATTTAATATCAATTCAAATTATACTTTTTTTTAATCATGATGTAAAGCCACGTCCCTTTAGCTTGCTAAATTTTGTCAAATGTGATCCAATCATTGTGTCAAATACTAAATGGAAGTAAATATATAAAATGAAGTGAAAGAAAATGTAACCATGGGATAAACCTGTCAGTTCAAGGCACACCACTTCATGTCTACATCCACTTTCCACACTTTGTCCACATCTATCTAAATCTCTCTACTTACTCACTCTTACTTACTTACTAACGCAACCTGCTTTTCCACACCATTTACAATTATATACAGTTTCCGGTCATATCCTCACGTGTCATGTTTGCTTTTGAATCACTTATCCGCATGACTTTCAACCAAACACTTCCTTAAATGTACCTACAGGACAGCTCATTGGTAGTATTTTATTCTACCATTCATTCTTGTGTGCCTCTTCTTTGGATTTATTTGACTAAACTGTGTATTTGAGAGAACTGATTTCAAAGGACACTTCTGGGGACTGCCTTTCTGTGTTGGTGCTTGGGTGACTTGGGGGAATTGTCTGGAGGGGGCCACTGCGGTTTAGTTAGCTGAATGTCTTCTTCTATTTTAAAGGCTTTCTTTGGGGGATCGGCCTGTGGGGGCCAAACTACAGATATTTTGTTACAGTGTGGTTTGCTTTCATCAAATGTTTTTGTCATTTCGTTTTCACCGCTGTGTGTTTTGTCTACTGAACTTATGCTGCTCATGGAATATCTCCATTCAAGTTTCTCATCTGAGGGGAAAGGTCCGCCACTTCCTGAGGGAGGTTTCTGCCCAAGTCCATTATCATAGTTCCCTTTGGACTTGAGGAGTTGTTTATAATGGTGTAGACAGTAGAAGTGTCCATGGAGAGAGACGTAACTTCCTAGGCTAAAGACAAAAGAATAATCTTCTGAGAGCTGCACCACATAGAAACATGATTTTTTTTTTTTTTTTTTTTTAACAATTTTGTTTTCATCAAAACAGCAAGAAATGAACTAATTACTATTGCAATGTTCAAAGAATCCATTGTACCACATGAGTGCCATATTTACCTTAATTTATTTCTGCAGTGCTCACAGCAGAAACAGGATTTATGGTACTTTTTTTTGTCCACTATCAGAGCATCCATCGGATAAGCCCTCCTCCGACATACTGTGCAGAGCTCCGACTTCGGAACTCGCACCTGTTGGAAAGAGATAAAATGCAAATTGTGAGATTTTTTTTTTTTTTTTCATTTATCCAATGTGCAAAGCATTTTCTTTTGGGCTGTCTCACAATGCGACAATGAGCTACAGCTTTTCTTCCAGTTTTTATTATGGTTAATCTTGCTAATACAAAGCCGTAGAATAGATTATGTTTGCATTTGAAAAGGTAGTGTAACAAGCTCATTCATTTGTTTAAACACTGACAATGGTCGTCAGGGGGAATGGTTCACGTTATTCCTCAGGATTTTGTTTTATTCATTCATGCACAAATATACATGCATCTCTTGTCTGCAATTTGGTAGGGTTTGCAAACCCTCAGCCAGCAGACTGTATACTGTCATTTCCCTGCTGGAAAGGTACATGCTGGCCTCATTCTCTGAGCTAATTGACCACCTCTTGAAAATATGGTATGGAGTCAGTGTTTTTAATGACCAGTTGAACCAATCAGAGCAATTATGTTGAGAATGACATCATCCCTGTCACAAACAATTGACAAAAACTTCAGCAAAATGACGGACATCAAGGTCTACTTTCTTACTTTTTGTCGAAAGCTTTCAAGTGAATCTCATGGTGTTTATTACTGAATGGAGTTGGTGCATTTGTCCTCACATGACTGGCATTAGATTTAACTGGCAGCGTCCTTGAACTCAGCAAACTTCATTTGCTGATGAAGACCACAGGATGTGGTTGAAAGCTTGTTGACAGCTGTTCCCAAAGTCAAGAATGAACTTTCAAACTCAAATGTGTAAAGAATACTTTGAGCTAAAAAACCTAATATGACTTTAAATTTGTTTTAGCCATGTTAGCAGTTGGATGAACAGTTCAGGATGAACTGTAATGACTTCACTTTTCCAGCACTGCAACTGTCAGGTCAGATTTTTCATTCGTCCAATGACATTCCCAGTCAGCCCCGACTGTACTTTGAGTTTAGTGCTAATTAGTAGATGTAAGCATGCTGACAAACTAGCATAAATATCTGTATGTTAGCATTACCACTGTAAGCACGTTAATGTTCATGTTTGCATTTACTAAAGCCTCACAGAGCTGCGAGCTGAAGACGTATTGGTTAGTGCCAGCAGTTGTTGTTTAACAAAGTCATTTGAAATTCAGCTTTTGCAACATACCACAAACAAATATAGCCACACCCATCCGTAGTCCATGCCATTAGGTTCTGTTGTTTCATGCTGTACAGTTTTTACCAGATGAGACAATCTTTGTCTGATGCGACACAACTTGTGATGTCGTCTCTTCAGAAATGGTGTAGCCAAGACTTTTGAAAACTGTCTCACTCTCTGTCCACGTTTTGTGGAAATTCCTCAGCAGCTTCTCGGTAGAATCTTCATCATATGTTTCTGCTCGCTTCACTTCTGCAGCTTTTCTTTTGACTGCATCAGCATAGGAAAAAGGAGCCTGCTTGGTTGACACACTCTCAGAGTGCTCAGTGACAGCTGTCCTTGTTCCAGTGACCTTGTTACCAAACTCATCAACATTTGAGAAATGTTCTGTGATTGATTTGGTTTCAGAGAAGGCTGCTGGTTCTGCTGGCACAGTTTCTAGCTCATTTTTCTGCAAAGGGAGGGGGGTGCTCTGCCGTGAGCCTCCCTTTGTCTCTTGAGGACTTTCCCGCTTTGAAGTGTCTGCTGTTGTTTCACTCAGGCTTGACACAGGCTCCTCCTGATCCTTTTTCTCCTCTCTGAATAAGGAACTTTGCTCACCCAGTTCAAAAACATTTTTAATAGCCTGAATGTCAAAAGTTGGCATTCCCTGCTCCCTGATGTCTACTTTCTCTTTGTCACAATCTGTGCTTTCAGCGTCATCATGAAGCCACTCTGTAAGTGGGATAAGCTCTTTTCTGATATATATTTTCTCTTCTGGTGATTCAAATTTGTTTACAAGACTAGACAAGTCTGCCCTGGGAACCTCATTCTTTTCTTTGTTCTTATTTTCTTCCTCACACTCCTCCATGTCTGGGCCCAGTCGTTCAGGGATAGCAATGGGCTCCTTTCGCACATAGGTCTTATTAATTTCAGCCTTTTGTGCCTCTTCAAAAAATTCTCTCTTTTCCTTGACAGATGCAGATGATCGCTCTGAAACATCTGAAGCGTCAACAATATCTGGGTCATTCTGACACAATGGCGTGTGGGTCTCAGACTTCCTTTGTATTTCATTTGCATTCAAACTTTCAGAAACATTAGCTTGATCTTCTCCTACATGTGTCTGCTGGGCCTCCTCAGATGAACTGTTTTTGTCTTTTTCTGTTGCAAGTGACGTCTCTGAAGCCTCCACAACTTGGGATGTGATTTTGATTTGCCGATGGAATGATGCAGGCGATTCCACAATCCCTGATTTCTTTTCTGAGATCTGCTGGGGAGGAAGAAGGGGCGGTGGGGTGACGCCACGTGAGAGCTTGGCTGTCGTGTCTTTCAGTCGTGCCAAATTTTCTGCTCGGTCAAAAGTTGGAGAAGGTGTGATTCTAGTGAGGCGTGATGTCGGGGTGTCACACCTGCGTGGCGGTGGCGTGGGAGGGGTGGGCGGCCTGTGCAGCAGGGTAGGTGATGGAGTTACCCTCTGGGGCGAGTCAGTTCTTCGTGTGGACTCGATGGTGATAAATGTCGGCGATGGCGAACGCATCCTCAGTGATGGCGAGGGAGCACGAAGGTCAACAGACTTGCACTGACTCACTTCATCCTTCCTTCTTTCCTGAGAGGTCTTTTTCTTTATTTGGTTCTCAACTCGGGCAGAACCAATACTGATCTTGGATATTCTTGGTGTTGCCCCACCAGAGATGCCTTTCTCAGAAACTGCCTCACATTCATGCTTCTCCACAGTCTCATTATCTTCTATATGCATTAGTTTAGCCTCTGCGAGTTCGCTCACACATGAGAGAATTTCTTCATTTTTATGTGCATTGCTTTCCACTACAGATCCCTCCAGTTCACATTTTCTCTCTGGACTTATGAGCCACTCAGGGATTGTATTGAGCAGAGTCTTCAAAGACTTAGAATCATTTTTTTCTGAAACTCTTTGTGTCTCTGTGATGTTAGAGATTAACACTTGGACCTCTTGGCTCTGAGAGTCCTCTGTTCTCCCTGTTGTGGACTTGACCAGCTGATTTTGTTCTGACTCGCCTGTCACTGTAATTGGAACATCCCTACTTTCTTCTGTTGGTTCCTCTGTGCTCTGCTGAATAGCTGCCATTCCTTTCTTCTTGTGAGATGCCTTCACATGCTTTTGAACTCCTCTTTGTTGCTGGGAATTCTGATGGTCTTTGCCTTCTGTGGTAATGACCTCTCTCTTGACTTGAACGTATTCTTCTTTTATACTTTTGTGAATTTGAGAAACTGCAATTGTTTCCTGAGTTTGATGGGATTTCTCAGACGTTACTGTCTTGGTTTCTGTAGCTTCTGCCTTTGATTCTGTGGAAGTACCTTTAGCTTGACCTGGCTGTGCACCCCCTTTAGACTTTTTGGACTTCTTTTTCTTCTTTGTGGGAGTTGGAGTTTCTACTTGGCTGTCAGTTATGATCTCAGTAACAGCAGGTGCTGAGGCAGTAGCAGGAGAGGGAGTAACTTTCTTAATCCCCTGTTTTAACTCTGTCTTTACTTCTTTAGGTTCACTGATCACTTTCACTTCAGTAGCTTCCATCACTTCCACCTTCAGATCTTTTGAAACACTCTGTTTCTCATTCTCACTGGACATTTTTGCCTCTGCTTGCTTTTCCTGTTTATTCTTTTTCACCCTTTGGTTTGATTTGCCTGTTTTTCCATTTGTATTGGCAGCTTCCTTTTCTATTTGCGTTGGCTTATCAGAAACCTTCTCATGGCTCTTGGCAGGAGAATGATCATTTTTCTTTTTGTTATCACGCTGTGGTGATTTGGACTCCTTTACATCTTTGTCTGAAGTCACATTTTCTTTTTTTCTGGTTAATTCGGGTGTTGTATTATCCTTTGTCTTTCTGTTCTCAGATTGTGATTTGCTTGATTTTACATTCTCCTCAGTTGTGACAGCAGATTCAGGTTTCACTACTTGAACAGGGATTTTATCAGAATGCATTTCGTCTTTCTTTTTATCTTCAGATTTGTTGGAGCCCTTTGTTTTCTGATTTTTAGCGTTTTTCTTTATATCAGCAGTCACGTTTTCTGCTTTTGCAACATCAGTGTTTAGGGTCTGGACTTTGTCAGCAATGACAGACGCAGCAGACTGTTGGGAGGAAACAGAAACTGTTTTCTCTGTTGTTGTCTGCATCTGTCGAACAGCTGAGACAGATGAAGTCTTTTGAATGGAGACAACCTTAGAAGTCTCATTAGAGACAATTTGCTGTTGAGCATCAGATATAATCATAGAATCGGTGAGTATTTTCTCATGACTGATGCAGTTATTGCCATGAGTGGTATTAACAACATGCTTGGATAAATCACAAGGTAGTAAGTCTGAATGAAGATTCTTTTCACTTCCCTGCTCTGTGATTTCTGATGTAATGTTATTTGACTGCTCTATGTCTTTGGTGGAAAGCATTTCAAAAGCCGCGGTAACTGAGTCATGTATGTAATTGGGAGTTGGAGTGGTGGGGGGTGTGTTTTCCTCCTTCAGCTTCCGATAGTTTTCTTCCGCTTTTATCAAAGCAGTGTTAAATTTGCTCATTTTACCTCTCATGAAGGGAGGAGGAGAGGACGGAGGGGTGAATTTCACAGGAGAGATGTAAACTTTCCTTAATGGTTGTGGAGACTCAGGCAGTGGAGGGATTTCACATGAAACAGTCTTTGATGTATGTGTTGTTGTTTTCGATTGGTTCTGGCTCATTTCTACCACTTTCTCTGATGTTACCTCCACCTTTTGTGTTTTACTGAAGTCAACTTTATGCTCCAGCTTCGGGACTGGGTGTAATGCCGGAGCTTTCACTTTTTTCACTGTCATCTTTTTCGCTTTTGCTGGTGAAGGATGAATTGCCTGTGCTGGCATACTCTCCAGTTCTTGTTCAGATGGAGGAGGTGGGAGGAAGTCCTGCTCACTGGTGAGTGGTGGTGGCGGAGGAGGAAGGTGATCAATGTCAGAATCAACAGAGGGAGGAGGAGGAGGAGGTGGAGTGGGAGGAGGAGGAGGAAGGTCAGTGTCTTCCACTGGTGGAGGTGGAGGTGGGAGAGGCAAATCAGGCTCGGGCACTTGTGGTTTTAAGACGTAAACATCAGTTTTCACTTTGGTTTTATCATGTTTTATCATTCCCTTTGGTTTGGACTTGAGATTACGAAACTCTGTCTTTACTGTTTTGATGCCGTGGTTTTGGGTAATAGTTTTATGTTCCACCACAGTTGTTGATTGCTGAACAGACTGCTCCACAGTACATGACTTTGCTGCAACAGTTTCAGTTTCATTACAGAGGGAATGATTTTCTTTTGATGTTTCAACTAAATTAGCTGTTTTTATCTTTTGTATGTTCCTCTGTGCATCAAGATTCAGGTTTTTAACTGGAGGGCTCTGCTTGACTCGAACTCTTCTGTATGCTCCCAGCCTGACTTTGGGAGTTTCACGCTGTGCTGTCTTCAACAGCGATTTAATAGTGCCTTTAACATCACCCTTTATCACTTCTTCTTTCTCCAGCTGGGTTTGCTCCTGTGTCTCATATAATGACTTAATTGACATCTTGACATCACCCTTTACGTCACCCTCAAGGCTTGGGCTCCTTTGCATCCTCGGTGACGGTGGAGGCTCCATTAAGAGCTGAATTGTTCCTCTGACGTCTCCCTGCACATCTATTTCCTGCTGACACATTCTCCTTTCACTGGAGGCATCTTGCAGGTTTTGCAATGCTGTGTGAATATCACCCTTCACTATTTCCTCCTTTTCAACTTCCCTCACCGCTTGCTTTGCCAGCTCCAGAGATTTTAGCGTGGCCCTCACATCTCCAGCAACTAAATCCTCGACAACAATGTCAGCTTTGGATGTTGCAGATTTCTCAAGAGATCTCAGAGCCCCTTTGATATTTCCTGGTATGATATCTGGCTTCTCCACCTCCTTGTACTGCTTCTGAGCCTTCTTGAGACACTGCAGCGCTTTCGGTATGTTGCCTTTCACTACCTCCTCTTTCTCCACAACAACTGTCTGATTCACTGATTCAGACAATGAATTCAAAGCAGCTCTTAAATCACCTTTGACTATCTCCTCCTTTTGGAGTCCCTCTAATGAGAGACTTGGCTCTGACATGAAAACTTTAACTGTATTGTGAACGTCACCGGGTATAACATCCTCGACTGTTCGCTCAATTTGCGTTTGATTACGACCGAGGATAAGTTTTGTGCCCTTGATGTCACCGCCAACAATCTTCTCTTTTTCTGCCGTGTCAGGTGAAGTCTCATCAGGTTCTAAATGGAGCTGTTTAAGATAGTCGAGTGCCCCAGATTCAATGCATGTGGAGTAAAAGTTGACATTTCCTTTTTCAGTGTCATCTACCTTTATCTTCACTGTCTGATCGGTCTTATCTGAGCCGGACAGTCTTTGAAGAGCACTCTTTATGTCCCCTCTTACAATGTCTTCTTTTTCAACATTAACATTCTCCTGCTTGTTGAGAAGGGAATATAGTGTCATCCGTACGTCTCCTTTTTCATCCTCCTGGATAAGTATTCCATGTTTCGCTGAACCGTCCCCATTGAAAAGATTGTTTATAGCTTCCTGAATATCACCTTGTAATATTTCCTCCCTTTCAATACTGCTGTCTCTCTCTTGGTTGAATAGCTGCTGCACTGTTGAGGTGATATTACCCTTCTCCTCTGAATCTATAACTATCTGCCGCTCATTTCTTTCCTGTCTGTTCAGTAGGTTCATCATAATAGTCTGCAGATCTCCCCTGATGACTTCCTCTCGTTGAATCTCCGGAGCCTGCTTATTCATTAACTGGTATTTTGCCATCCTAACATCGCCAATTTCATCAGCTTCAATGAGTACTCCCTTCGACTTCACCATTTTCTGACTATAAAGCTCCTCAAGCGTTCCCTTGACACTCTTGCCCAGGATTTCAGTCTTCTCCGTTTTTGTCTCATTAAAGTCATCAAATGGTGTTGTTTCAAAGAGCCATGTTGTTGTCTTTACATCTGCTTTGGGAATCTCCTCTTGAGTAATGGTTGTATCCTCATCCTCATCAACCTCTTTAATGTGGTCAAGAGGATTTTCCTCAAAGAGCCAGACTGAATGTTTAACATCTCCCTTTGCAACCTCCTCCTTTTTAACTGTTTCAATTAGATTTTCAGAGCTCATGCTTCTTATTTTATCGATGGACTGGGTTTCAAATCTCCATTTCGCAGTCCTAACATCACCTTTTTGTATTTCACTCACATTAACCGTTCGAACAGATTCCTGTGAAAGGGTATCAGACTCAAAACGATGTTTATTCATCCAAACGTTGCCTCCTTGAATATCGTCAACCGTTTTAATTAAAGCCTTCTTTTCTTCAGCAATCCTATCGAGAGGTTGCGTCTCAAATTTCCACTTAGCGGAGGTGACATCTCCTTTTTGCACATCCTGCTGTGTGACAGATTTGATTATATAAACCTCATCTGTGTCCTTAATGGCATCAAGAGGCTTGGTTTCAAACAGCCAACGAGTTCCCACTACATCTCCTCGTGTTACCTCCTCACTGGTGACAGTAGTGACCTCGTGGTAATAGCCCTCTTTGTCCTGAATTGCATACAGGGGCTGAGTTTCAAACATCATGGTGTAATTTCTCACATCGCCCTTCTCATCTTCATCACAAATTATTTTTTGCATTTTCATCAGCTCTGTGTCTGTCTCTGAGGAGACCTCGTGGATTTTATCCAAGGAGCATGTCTCAAAAATTAAACGGCCCTTATCTACATCTCCTCCTTGTACATCGTTCACTGTTCGGCTGCTCAAAGATTCCTCTTGGCTATCATGTATCGTATCAATGGATTGGTTTTCAAAGAGCCATTTGCAGTTCCCCACATTCCCTTTTTGAATATCCTCAGTCTGAACTCTCTTGAGCGTTTGCATCACTTCCTCAGATGTAGACGTCATGATATCGGCTGTTTGGTTTTCAAAAATATACTTCATCCTTGACACATCTCCAGACGCAATGTCTATCTCCGTGACACACTTGAAAGAGCCTGTCTCCTCCCCTGTGAGGTTCTCCAGTTTCTCAGTCTCGAAGAGAAAACAAGCCATCCTTACATCCTTTCCTCTAATGTCCTCTTGATTCACTGTGCATGTTTTCAGAACGGTCTCTGTCTCATCGTGGATAGTATCAAGCGCTTGTGTCTCAAAGAGCCATGTGCAGGTTTTGACGTCTCCCTTATGGGTTTCTTCAGATTCATCGTCACCCCTCAACTCTGCTCTTTCATACAGAACGTCCATTGGCTTTGTCTCAAAAAGCCACTTACACGTTTTCACATCACCCTTCATGACATCATGAGTTGTACTTATCTCTACATTTTCTTCATCTTCGATATTGCTGAAGTACTTAATAGCATCAAGAGGCTGTGTTTCAAACAACCACTTTGCGGTTTTAACATCACCAGATTCTATTTCTTGTTTGGAAATACCCTTGATGATTTGGTATTCATTCATGCTTTCATCAAACTGGTCTATTGGTCGTGTTTCAAACATCCACTTGCAGGTTGTTACGTCTCCTTTTACAACCTCCTCACGTCGCACTGTTCTCACCTCATGGAAGTGGCCTGAGCTGTCTTGCATGGCATAAAGTGGAGTAGACTCAAACAGGTTTTTATTTGATTTCACAGAGCCAGATTTTACACCCTCTATCAGAATCTTTTGAGATTCATCCCTCCTGTTTATATCTGTGCTCTCAAAGATTTGCTTATAGTTTGAGACGTCCACTTTATCAATTTCTTCCAGGTCTATTGTTCGAATGACTTCCTTCTTTTCTTCTCTAATATGTTCCAGGGGTTGGCTTTCAAATCTCCATTTCTGATGTCTTACATCACCCTTTTCCTCATTAAGTGATACTGTTTTTTTCAGTTTGCCCACCTCTGCAAGCTCTTTCAACTCCTCGGTTGGAATTGTTTCAAAATAATTTCTGGCTGATCTCACATTACCTGAAACAATTTCCTCTTTTGTCAACTGGGGAGTATTTGAATCATCTTTTAAAGTATCCATTGGCTGTGTCTCAAATACCCAGCAATTCTTACGAACATCTGCTCTGCAGCTTGTGCCATCCTCCTGTGTGAGGTCGTCGTCAATATTAACAGTTCGTGTAACCTCTTTCTTCTCCTCTCTTATGTGTTCTAGAGGTTGACTCTCAAAGCGCCACTTTTGGTGTCTCACATCCCCTTTCATTTCTTCATTTACTGTTGCCTTTTTAAGTTTTCCAACCTCAGGGCAATTCTTTCTGGTTGTTTGAGGGCTGCTTTCGAAAAAGTGTCTCGCAGATCTAACATTGCCTCCAATAATTTCTTCAATAGACTGAGGTCTGGCATTGGAGTCATCCTTCAGAGAATCCATTGGCTGTGTTTCAAAAACTAAGCAGTGCTTGCGAACATCCGCTCCGATGATCTCTTTCTTCTCCATCTGTGAGCTTTCCCACTCATCAAGAGAATTTAATGTCTTTATCTCAAACAACCACCTGCCCCAGTCTCCTTTATTGCTGTCCTCCATGGAAAGACTACACACAAGTTTCAAAGCTGTAGGTTCTCTGTTTGTCATGTCCAGGGGTTGGGTATCGAAAAGCCAACGTGAAGCAATGGAGTTTTCCAATTCCGTTTCAATTTTGCGCACAGACTTAATCTCCAGCATTTGGCTTGATTGTCCCATAATGATGCATTTAAACTGAGTGTCAAAAGTACTTGTTACAGTTTTCACTTCTCCATCAATTTCCTCTAACACTGCCCTTAGACTCAGCAGGTGACTCTCGTCAATTGTCTCAGTGTGCCCAAGGATTTCCATGTATTTATTGTCAATCATATAAATTGTAGCATTTCCATCCTCTTCTGTGAACACAATCTCTTTTGTTAAATCCTCCTCCTTATGCATTTTGTTTAGAGTGTCCATAGCTTGGGTTTCAAACAACCATGCTGCAGCACGGACATCTCCTTTGTTGAATTTGTTTTTGTATTCTGTCGAGTTGGTGTTTTGTGAACCCAGCTCATCCATCGGCTTGGTCTCAAACATCCAAGCTGTGCGTCTCACATCTTTTCCAAAAATTATTTCCTGTTGACTTATTTTCTTGTCGTCGTCATCCTCATCAGGAGTTTCATCTTTGATGGTGTCCAGCGGCTTATTTTCAAACATCCAACGCATTGCCTGCACCTCCCCAGGGAGAATCTCTTCCCATTCCACGTATTGTTCATCGTTGAACTCATCGGGACTACCACCATCATCCTCATACATGTACTCTTGGCTGTCTAAGTGGTTGTTCTCAGTTTCATTGTTGTCATTACAGTACTCTTTCTCAATATTCCTGCGGACCTCCGGATGAATGTGCTTGTAAAGACGTTTCAGCTCATTCATACTCTTCTGCTTGAAGTAAGCTTCTCTGTTGACTGGGTATTTGGAGAGGTTTGCTGGTTCTGGAGGCTCAGGTGAGTAATGGTTCACTGTAATATTTTGACTGTCTAATGGTATTTGTAGTAAGTCGGGGGGCGGGGGTGGAAGATAATCAGAATCGTCAGCCGGTGGGGGTGGAAAGTCCTCATAATCCATCTCTGCGGCTGTTGTGACTTCTGTTGCTTCAATAGTTGGTGCCTCATAGATCTCACTAGTCACTGTGTTGTTTTGTGTCACATTTGAGGACCACTTAGATCGATTGATGTCACGTCCAATCTTTTTAAGGAACAAAAATGATATTTATGGGTAAATAACTATAACTCTATCACATTACTCCGTGGCAGAGATATATGTGTGTTACAATTCACCTTGTTCTAACAATTACAGATAAAGTGTAAAAATGAGATCATAAAACATAAATAATCTTACATAGAAAAACACCTATCAGTCCAAGGTTAATGGTACTGTATGAATAAGTTGCTTTCTTGATATGCTTTTTGTAGTCACAAACAAATAAATCACTGCGATGAGTTATATATATATATATATGAAGTTATAATCCTTAAGAGTTTCAGGAAAACAAAGCTTGTTTTTGACATTATTTATGGGTGGCATTTTGCAGCAATAACCATTCATTGTCCACTATTCCCAAACTGTATTTAAAATGCCTTCACACACACAGGGGAGGAAACAATGCATGTATGGATGAAAGGTATTTCTCCACAAAGCAAGATAATTGTCATTTTTGTGATTTTTTGGACAGAGGATAAGGATTACAGGATGTAATGGAATAATAAGGAGCATCCACAACTGTTGGATGAAGACTTGCAAGCAACAGGGTGCACACTTCTGGCACCCCATGAAGGTTACCAGCCTTTGCTGTTGTGTGGAAGACTGTCTGCAGCATGAAATCAGATCATGGTTTTATTTTTTATTACCTTATTTGTTAAATCAATGTCAGTTTGTTTGGCTGCACTGTAAATAGATACACCATTTGCTCTTCTGTTGTATTTCTGTGATAAACCATAACTAAAATCTTATGGATTATAACTTTTATGAATATCTTGAATCCCAATTAACTGAAATGAAATATCCTCACCCTTTATTTTTTCAATTATTTTGCCTAACTCAAGTGAAATGGAAATGCTTACCTTTACTGGTTTCTGTGGAGCAGCCTCTTCTATTGTTCTTTCAAAGCGATCCCTCAGTTCTTTTGTAGTGTACCTGGGAAACTCCTCTTCTAAAAGTCAGCAAAGACATATGTATAAAGGGAGGCCTTAAATGTATAGTCAGTGACAGTGAATATGGCAGAGAATAAAAATATCTTAACAACATCCCACCTGCTTCATTTTGATGGTTTTCATAACTGGATGCCAGGTTACTGTCGCTGTATGACACCTGTGTGTAATAGAGGTCGGAAAGGGTAGAAAATACAGAAATTGAACTAGTCAGCAATACCCTACGAGTGCTGCACATGTTCTCATCATGTAATGTTTTTAAATCTCAGCCGAAACTGTCAAAGACTACTAAACAAACATTAATTACACAAATGTGATTGATTGCAATCATTTACAGTTTTTACTCAACAGGCAATTAAGTGTTTAGCTCATTAGCAAAGCCTGCCTGCCTGCAGAAACACAGTGACAGGATGTGTTCGGTACCATCATTTCTTGGTTGAAGTTTAGCTGCTGACTGCCTGGGATGACCTGCTTGCTGCTGCTCAACACTGTCACCTCTGAGTTTGACATTTCCTGTGAAGATGAAGACAGTGGTTGTCAAACACAGGGAATGTGTGTCTGCCACAAATGCAGGCACTCACATAAATGAATCTCTCTGTTTCATTGCACCACCCCCCCTTGCCTCATCATAGCCACAGATGTGAGTTTACTCCACTCCAATTTTCTCCACCAGCCAAAGCTTCATAGTACACGCCTGAATACCATGCAGAGAAGATGCTGGACCAGATTGCTCGCAGCAGTTTAAAATGACTAATCACACATGGAGTCAAGATGACAAAGAACATGCCAAGTTGTTCAATCATATTGTGCCATAGCACAAAATAATAAATTCTTTTCTATTACTTTACTAAGTTCTATCGAATGGAGCTACAATACTAGTGTTATACAATTCTCTCAGAGGTTTTCCCGAAAACAGTCAAGTAATGTCTAAACGCACAGACTCTGCTCTGTTATTAGTGCGGTAAGATATAATAGCAGCCCCAGTGTTAATAGCCAACCTAAAAAGTATGTATTATACTTGCAAAGCTTATGCAGAAGGATGAAAAGCAAAATGAAATGGTTCAAACAGAAACCAGCTGAGGTCAGAAGAAACATTATTGTCATTTTACCACAGTCATCTCTTTCATGCTCTTAGTATTAGCCTGATGAAGGTATATATATGTACCTGCACAGTTCTCTGATGAAAATGGAACTGAGTTACATTGTGTGATGTTGCTGTTTCCTGAGTCTGAAATTGTTTCCTCACACTGGCAAGTCCCCCAGGCAGGGAACAGACCTCAGACTCCTCCATGACCTAATGAAGCAGGAAATATCATTAGCTGCCGCTCACTCCTACATGACCTGAAATCAAACTGCTGCTTCATAGGGCTATTCTGTGTGGTATGCATGCAACACAGGTCGCTGTTATAAACGTGCAGCTAATGCTATATGCAGTTTCTCTGTCTGCAGACAGACATGAACACAAACTCATAATATTCTGCTTATGTCATTGTTTCAAATTTACATAAAGAAGTGTGAGAGTTCTTTCAAAGTAAAGCCAACAATGTTTTCTGTTTTCTGAAGCTTCCCTCTATATTCTGCCTTGTGAGGGTAGTCTCAGGTTTCCCCTCTATTTATACATGTAAATGTGCAAGACTGCTGACCCCCTTTTCCCAGCTGCAAAACTGTCATCACCTCCACTAATAACTGCATGACAACACTAACAATAATGGTGAAAATACCATCTCAGTGCAGCTCAGCTACTGTGCAACCCTGGATATAATCAGCTAGCAAACAAACCATTAAAATGAACCGTTAGAAAGTTGGCTTCTAATTATACAAATGTTTTTTTCAGTGCAGTCAGCCCTGGCAGGTACTGTAGCTACATGTGTTAGCCGAAACAATACATGCACAAGCTAAAGTACCCCGCTGGGGATGGTGTTGTCTGCTCGCGTGGAGACAGCTGCCTGGTACATGGCCTCACAGTTGGTCAGTGGGATGACCTCTGAGTCCACAGAGTGAATCCGGTTCCTCTGGTTTAAAGCTTTCAGGAAGTCCTGCCCTGGTTAAACCTGCGCTGCCAGCAGCTGCAGCACAAATAGCCAATGAATTGTTACAGAAATTGCTTGTGTTATTAGGTGTCATCCAATTATTAAGAGGTAGCACACAAGATTTAGTGGTGCAAACACATGCAATTAAAGCACTGCAAAGGGTGTCAGAACCTTTTACCCATTTGCATACTAATCATCAGTTTTTTAAAACTAAAGGCATACAAAAGCATCAGTCTGGTATTAAAAATATTTAGATTTTCTTGTCAAATTTGTGATATTGCTTCAGTTTGTAAATATTCACAGAAGCAACAAAATGTGAGCAACAGTAATGCTTTCAAGGTGCTAACATACCACAGGTGGTGCTCTTGTGAATGACGTCTTTAAAATACTCTACAGGGACATTATTTAAATCAATTACACACCTGTCTCCTGACATTCACTGCCTCACAGGATGTGCAGGGTTTATTAAAAGGGTGTGTACTAATTTACAGCTGTGTGAGTTGTCTGTTTGGTCCACACCTAAACATCTGACACTGCTGAACTGATGGTTTTATACTGGAATATATTCCTTCAATAACATTGTGCCCCGGGTGCTTGTTTGTCAATCTCCTAAAAATGCTCAATGCATTGAGCTTTTGTGTACTTTAAATCAGTGTTACCACTCCTATCAATCATTATTAAAGGTTCCATATTGTAGATATAGATGTCTTTTATTATAAAGCAGGTCTAGGTGCTTTATAATTACTGTGAAAATATCAAAATACTCAATTCACAGAGAGATGTCTCTGAAACTCTGCCTTAAAATGAGTCATTGGGACTTCTGTAACTTTGTGATGTCACAATGAAACAGTCTCCGCCCTTGGCCATGTCACCAGCACAGCTCATCTGGACCCACTGTCCAACTTTTTTTGTTGTTGTTTGTTTTAACTTAATTAATAACACAACGCCAAACGGTAATTCCATTGCTGTGCTAGCAAGAAAAAAGACAGAAAAATGTCAAGGAAACGCTGCACAATTAGTTGATTTCAGGAGGCAAAAGGCACAGCTATACCAAGAATTTAACCATCAACATTTGCATTTACTGGTGAGCTTTAACAGTGGTAGGCTGCAATCCATTACTTGTGGTTGGCCTGGCCATACGTCACTCTGAAAACAGTGAGCCAATCAGAAGAGAGGCTCAGAGATTGACACAAAACGCCCTGCCTGAGCTCCAGGGAGAAATGTGAGAGACGAGATGTAAAACTATATTGAGGTGCTACCTAAAACTGCAAATATATCTTCTTATGGATATTAAAACCTCAAATAAAGCACCATAAAAGTGTAAAATATGGGACCTTTAAAGTGTTCCTTTTACACTGCATTTTCCAATCAAGATGGAAAAGTATTATCAGATGAGGGGGATCATCAAGGAAGTGGGATTAGTTGCGATTTGGATTTACGTTTTCATTTTAGGCATAATTAGACTTTATGAGAGTTTATGTCTGGAGCTGCGTCAACAGTCCAGAACCAAAAAAACATTATCGTTAACCTAGAGTGTTTTTATGTGCTGCAAAAACAGCCAGTGTGATTATAAACTCTTTCAACAGCCACAGACTTAATATATGGCCAGTTTCTGCTGAAACAACATTTTTGTCTCTGTTTGTGAATTTCAAGTATTCACACCTCAGTGTTTGTGGATATAAATGTGCTGATGCAAATAAGAGAATGAAATATGAATACAGACTGTTTGATGTTCATCAAAATCTTCATGACACTAACCATTATTCTAAAGACTAACGGCTTTAGAGGAAAATTTTCATCTGTTGCCCTGCTCTGTGGTGAACTAACGCTATTTGAAACTATGTGTATATTGAATTCATGTAGTATCAGAGAATAATGTCAGCAAAAGCTGTCAGACTGCCGGCATGAGATGATTATTTCACATCTGTAATATTATTTTTGGCAGCACAGGGAAAGAAAACTTATAAGTACTGAGTGAATGAAACACCAAATCAAAACACCCGAATTTTTTAATCTATTTTAGACTTGGAATGGTGGGTATGTTTGAGTAAAACAATCAGATCATAAAAGACAGATAAAGGACAACTTATTATTACACAACTCTTAAAATTAGACCATTTTAATTACTTATATCTTTAAGTTCAAATTGATTTCAGCATTGAAATTTTTACCAGTGCAAAACTCTGCACTGCAGCAAGTTCCTTTCAAGGTCTTGAGGGCAGAGACTCACAGACTGTAAATTATTGTGCTAGGAACTAAAATTTGTGGCCAGAAAAATCTGTCAACAGTCTGAGGCTATCTCATGACATGTCAGATTGGGTTGAGAGCTCAAATAACAAGAAAGTGAAGTAATCTAGGCGCCATGTATCTGCAAAAATAAATCAAGCCTATTTTAAACTTAACCATGAAGGGTCGTGTTTCTCAGTGAAATAAAGAGGAAAGCTGGGAGGTCAAGGCGTTCCTTACCAAAAAGCTCTTAAATATCCTGCATTGATAACCTTGTGTTCATGCCTTTATTTGTAATTACTCTTCACTATTCCTCATTTCATGGCTTTCCTGGCATCATGGAAGTGGAGCGAGATAACACCTAGAGGTAAACGGCTTTGGCACAAACAGCACTCCATCTATTTGAAATTAGTTAATAGAATAAATCTAATCTCTCCTCAAGCCAAAATAATCAGTTAATTTAGTGTTTCAGTCACAGTTTATTTTCCTGCAGGCCTGACATAAGATTTATAGTTTATCCCTGTTTTTTCAGTGGAAGTGCACTCTGCATGAGGACAATGTTAATGAATTTTAATGTACAGTTAAGAATTCACTGCCAGTCTTCAATGTTTTTCTCTGCAGATATCAAAAAGACATTTTATAATGTATTACCATTTCTTTTGCATGCAGAATTATTACCATAAAAATATAATTTAATGAGCCAATATCATTCACATATTTTCATAATATTACACTCAACACAAAGAGACAATCACCACTCTATTCATTATTCATTACCTACCAGGATATAGTGAATTATAAAAATATGAGCTCAGCAGGTAGAATCCCACACGAAGGCCACTGCACCCCTGGCCCGCAGGGTCTTTCCCAGCCAAAAGCAAATCCCAGTCAATGTTGGAGACCAGCTCCAGTAGTATGTGTCCACCTCTGTCCAACGAGCAGACAGTGACAGCTGATTTTATTTTAGACCCTCCGCCCACTTGTGAAAGATGGGGCAGGGATGTTTTTTTTTTTAGAGAGCGAGGCCTCTGTGCTTCCCGTGTCAAGTGCCCAGAAGATCTATATGGAAGTACTTCCTGTGACTCCACTGCAGACGCTTGTGTACCAATAAATCAGGTCACCCTGGTTTCATCATCACGTCCTCCATCAGAGTGTACTGCATACTCCAGCAGCTGTTACCGCCTGTCATGATATGCCAAGTTATGCACATACAAATCCACAATAAATACTCTGAGAATCTCTCATTATTCCCTGCTTCTGTTAATCCCAAAGCACTGCAAAATGGATGTGGGGCAGGTGCAAATTCAAGTGACAGTAAATGGTGGTGAAATGTAATTGGCTATGTGCTGTGCTTTGCATGTGGTCTGAAACGGGGTCAGTGATGTAATGCTATTTGTTGAAGAGAAGGAGGGTTAAGGGGGGGGCTGTAAATATGACAAGAGACACCTCTGAGTGTGGAAGAGCTAGCCAGCTCATCTTGTTTAGCCCAGCTGGAGACGGTGGCGCCAGCCTGACTCTGGTATCTCATGGAAGCTGGGTGAGTGTTTGGAGACCAGACATGTCTGCCAGGCATCACCACAACCCTGTTCATTGGCAGCATGTGTAACTCATACCTGCATTTCCAAAGACCACCTGTTTTAAAGAGACACTCTGGGATTCCTGCTCCCGCCAAACCACACACAGGGGACTGGAAGGCAAAAGATCCTGTTGACCTGTTTTCCTGATTATTTAAAACATAGATTAATTAATTAAAATGAATATAATGCTGTATTAACGCTGATGATCTTAATTTGAAAGTAATTGAGCTATTATTTGTAATGAAAGTCACAATTATTTTTCTGTCATACACGAAGAAGAGCAAGAAAAGATAGTTAACAAAAAAATCTCAAACATTCATGTGAGCGTTTCGAGGTTTCATGTTCTTTTCATGATGACCCTGCTCTTTATTCAGCTTGAAGCTCGTCCTTTGTGATCCATAGCAGAGTTAAGTCACACAGTGAGAGCGAAAGAAAAGGTATTAAATTTTCTCTTTCTCTCTCCCTCACACTCACACACACACATATATATATATATATATATATATATAATATACTAATACTTTCCCCATTCAACCATACACTCATACACTGATAGAACAGGTTCAGTATCTTGCCCAAGGACACTTTTACACGCAGATCAGAGGAGCCAGGAATCAAACCACCAACCGTCTGATTAGGGAACAACTCTACCTCCTGAGCCACCCCTCAAGTACCCCCCAATCCCACCCCACACCCACACAGAGTAGGAGAGAGTAAAAGAGAGAGAGAGAGATAAAGAGAGAGAGAGAGAGAGAGAGAGAGAGAGAGAGAGAGAGAGACAGAGAGACAGAGAGACAGAGAGAGAGAGAGATATATGCAGAGCAGTGCCAGCCCAGCACGGGAGATAAGAAGTGATTTCCATCAGATACTATAGGCTTTTGGCAGACACATGGTGCCAAGGAAGAAATAATATGAAGCGTAATATTTTAGTGACAGCTTCTTTCACCGAGTCTTTGGCTGTAGAAGAGTCTAACTCTTTTGGGAATGCTTTCAGAATAAATAGGAAAATCAGTTTTGTGTTCTATACTGCTGTAGCAGGTCCTTAGCTTTAGATATACAGTAGCTTATAGTTTTGGAGGCATTACAGTGTGCAAACCAAAGAGAAAAATCAGGGTAAGTGAT